CGATGGCTGTGAAACATGGCCAGTGAGAGTAGAAGATATTCGTAGGTTACTGGTTTTCGATCATAGGTGTCTTCGAAGCATTGCTCGTATATCCTGGGACACCCGAGTGAGCAACGCTGTTATTAGGAATCGGGTGCTAGGTAAGAATGGCAGATCAATCGATGAAGTATTGAAACTTCACCAGTTGAGGTGGTTGGGACATGTGTTGCGTATGCCCAACCACCGGCTGCCTCGAACAGCTTTGTTTTGTAGTGTAGGAGTAGTTTGGAAGAAAGTTAGTGGCGGCCAAACCAAAACATGGCAGAAATCCATGAAGTCATTGACGAGTGGACTTAGCCATGTCGGTAATTGTCGACTACCTGGTTGGGGTCCGCGAGATGATAATAATCGATGGTTAGAGACCTTGAATGACATGGCTCAAAATCGTTCGCAATGGCGCCGGTGCATTTATTCTCTGTGTTCTCTCAAATGCTAATCTTCTGGATTCTTCAACAACTCTAGTTTCGACTCTCTAAACTTTTCTCACTGAATCATACTTCTTGAGTAGTATCTTCTAATCCTAACCTCTCCGATTATCTCTAATTCCCTTACTACCTCTTCTACTATTGGATTTGAATTGACGATTACTTCTCTGTGCTGATGTGGTATGGCAACATGAACTGATGTACTTATGTACAAAGTTCTACGTTGCATCTGACTGACTGACTGACTGTTGTGAAATACGGATATGATATCTTACTCTATACATCGTAATCTCTTGTTAAATATGTAAATAGCGTTATGGCGTATCCTAGTTACTCATTCTTCATCCATAAGAAATGAAATACTCGTTTAAAACACCCAGCTATCAGTTTCAATGGATTTGAATGTATGGTAACGCTATCACATCATTAAGCTTGACTCGTAATTGGCGAATCATGGTTGTAAGTCAGTAATCGCGTGCTGGTGGAGATGATCAGTTTTCACTGCATAAACTAAGTTTGGTGCCATAATCAAGCTCAGTTTCTCTAAGTGTCAATGAACTTCAAGAAATGTTCATAATACAATGGGAATTATCTGAAAGTCCCTGTTTAATTTATCTCGCCCCTTGCTTTTTTTCTTAAATGGGTTGATCTAGATTGTGGTCACGTGGAACATTAAGCTAATCAGTCAGCAAATCCTTGTCGTACTGTAGGTAGACAATATTACAAATACAGTGAAAACTGTTCACGGAGGCTACTCAGTCAATAAATCTTTAGCGTTTCATGATCATGTTAAGATATCAGCATATTTCACTGGATTTCCTGAGGTTCTTACTTGTTGATTTCTCCATATTCTTCGGTAGGATGATGATATAATACTGCTCCACCCATGGTAGTAACTTTTAATCAAGTAAAGGGAAAGCTAAAAAGCTATCAGTTATGGCAGTCATGATTAAGTCATAGTTGACTTCAAAACCGAAAGTTGGTGTCAGCTGTACACGGTTCTTTTTAAACTTTTAGATGCTTATATGCTTTTCGCCAACTTGACTGTCTTATCTGCGTCACGTATCTTTAAATTTAGAGATAATCCTATTTCTGTATACATGACGCTTCCAATCGCATATAATAAGGCAATTGAAGGACGGTATTATATTTTATTTAAAGAAACTTGTCATAAACTTGAAATTGGTAAATGATTTTTTGTTATTAATGTGATGCTACCTATTTTTGTTGAATTTTCTAGTTAATCGTTAAAAGTTTTCATTCATTATGCTAGGTGCTGATCACAAAAATACAAATGAACGTTTGTCTTTCAAGGATGAAAACTTGTCTATCAACTCTTCCCTCACAGAATTAAGTGAAAATCTTTCCCACATTGCATATGCTAATGCCAGTGCTGTGGTAGCAGCCGCTCGATCCAAGGCTGTGGCTGCCTCAGGGGTTCGCAACACTTCACCTCGTGGCAAAAGCTGTGATATGCCTCCAGATAAGACGTCAAAAAATATTTTCTCAAGAACTCGACATTCAAGAAGTGCTCCCAACAAAAGTGCTAATCGACAGTCTTCAGTTGGACAGCAAGATTTCCATCAAAAGCATCACTGGTTGGGAGAGCAGCATACAAAACTGCACACAGATTCTTCACTAAGCCCAGGTATTTCTGAAAGCAAACCAAGTTGGCGTTTGAGTTCCCTGTGGTTCCGACGTAGCTTTACGATTGCTTGGCGTCGTAGATCACCTCTGAATGTAGACAGTTCTGGCGAAAAATGTGGGGGGTGAGAAATTTTATGTTTATACAACAATTAAGTTGATTACTCATGCTGTAAAGAGTTGACTTCTATCTTGAAATTCTTTAGTGTAGATTGGTAGTGCTGAAACCAACCTTTTGCATTCATTCGTCCCTCCAGGACGAATGCAACTTACAAATGAGTTTAATAATCTACACGCTCGTAAAACGAAAGTAACTTTATGAATCTAAGTTTGTGTAATTTCAGAATGATAGGACAATCAGATTTATGAAAAAAAGATAGAATTACCACGTTTAATCTATCAGTTTTCGTTTTGCGTCATTCTAGCTATCTATTTTTGTATGGTTTTGCTCCTACAAACAGTGAACAAGTTCGTAGTTTTTTATGACTTAGTGGCTTTGAATTTATGAATCTTTCCACCTATTGAGTTATAAACACCTGAAAATACGATTAACCTTTAAAATTTATATGATTATGCAGTTCCAGCACGCAAAGTTTTGCATGCAGTAAACATGTCACATTGCAATATGATTTTTATCACTACTAGTAAATTGACCATTTTGACGACCCGTCAACTTTGGTTAACAACGAATATTGAGCTAGAAGGTGATTGCGAATTGGCACTTGCTACTTTAATCATACTTGCAACTTTATCAGTTTACCTTTAAAGATCTTCCAGTTTTCACAGGTTGGTTTCATCTCACTAAAAGCTGTAGTGTGAAATCTTTATTCTGACAACATAAACTAATTGATGTTTCCTACCTAAACCAGCTCGCGACTTTATAATAATAAAGTGTTTCGTTAGTATGTTCTATCAGCATGACAAACAAACTGGTACATTTTGGTGCAGCGAGAAGCATAAATAAACAAGTATTCACCAGACTTCTTGTGTAAACACATGTCGACGATCGATTCCCCATAAGTTACAATACATACCAACTAACAATTATAGGTCATGTATGTGCGAAGATAAGTTTCAAACTATTAATTCTTAAATCTTTTAGCGTTGCGCGTTTGGTGAGTATTCTAGAACTTCCTATTAAACCGTGTAAAAGAACTGTTTTTATTGTCATCTTTGCCCCACGTACCAATGTCACAGATTACCAAGCTGAATTTGTTTTATGATTTACAAATATAAATTAGGTTAATCGAAGGATGCATTGTTGTATTGTGTACTTCTAACTAGTCACTTGGGTGTTATTTTTTTATTTCCAATCAAAAATATATTAGTCCTTATCCTCGTGCTCCCGGGACTGCTGTAATTATAAATGCCCAACTAGTTCGTGAAGGTATTGTGATGCAGTGGCTTGGTCCACACTTTGATTCACATCGTCCTCGTATTGATTGTGAAAAGATGAATAATCCTGAAGCTGGGACTTAAAAGAAAAGCACGCAGTGGGCTCAGTCTCGTCTTTGCTTGTGTAGTACAAGTGAAAGCCTAATCTTAGAAATATTTACTACTCCTGACGTAAGTGATCACACATTATTTGTAATGTTCATATGATCAAAATAAAAATAGTCAGGTGATTCTTAGTTTATCATCTTTATGAAAATGTTCATGATCATTTTCATGAATAGATGACATTGAAAAGTAATTTGGTTCTTTCCAGTAGGTGTGTTACTATCTTTTTTGCCACTTGATTTACGTCAACTAGCCAATATTACTTGTCCGTATGTCGAGTTACTCTTGTTTTTATTGTATGTAGGTGGATAATTTTTATGATGGTGTAGTTTTTATAGTCTTGTTACCCATATCATAAAGTTTTCATAATTTCTTTACATGATCATTGTTATCCGACAACAGTTTTCACAAGACAAATTAAGCATACTTGATCGCAGGATGACAGTTCCATCAATTTTTAACGAAGTTATGTAACTGTTTTCTAAGTATAAACCAAACTGATTAAAGCATTTTATTCTAACTTCTTTACTTAAATAGATTTGAGGTTCTTTTAACCAAACCTAGTGATGCCACTTGTGGTCTAAAAGGTCTTAGAACTAAGACAGCTACTGTAATGTCTCACATTACCAAATTTAGGTTTAAGATTAAATGGTATGGTCATCATTGTCTTGTTTGAAGCTTTATTGAGCTATAGGTTGGGATCATAGAGTAAGATATACGGAAGTTAGATCGAAGGTTCTGGTTATGTCAGAAACAGTACATTAATTTGTTCTATTGTCCTCTTTCACGATTAGTTTTCTTCGTACGTTTCATTGTCTTTTTCTTTGCGTTCCTAACAACCGTTTTGTTCAGTCAGAGTTTGTGAACTTGCATGCACTGAGGCTGATGCACGTCACTCTAGCTTGAGACGTAATCATACATAACACAGAATAAAAGCTAATGGCGTTCCTGCTGCGATTTTATTTTACTTCATACAAGTGAGAGGAACCTCTTTAATTAAAAGAATTCTTTCTGTTTGTGCCTTTCTCAAGCGAACTACTACTACGCTTTATAATTTTGATGATGATTCATTTCTTCACCATTACGTATCGAGATGCAATCAAGAATTGTTTGCACAAAATGCTGAATATTGTTATAAATTACACCTTGATATATAGCTAATTTTTAAATACTAGAATGTATTCCAACAGTATTTGTCCGCCACTAGTTTTCAGTCATTTTCGCACTGCAAAATACATTCAGTTCACGAACTATCATGCATTTTCTCCTCATATCTCCAGAGAAAAATAGAGGGGAAGTGTACCAATTGCTATTGTGTTTCTAATAGTACCTCCTAGTATTTAGCATCACGATTTGTAGTGAATGCTTTCTTTAGAAATGAATCGTTCTCTTTATGTCCCCACTTAAGTCCTTCAAACAAAAGTAAAATAGAAAGATTTATTGCAGTCGTTACATGGTTGTATAATAAATAAGCCGAAAGCCTATGGTTACCATATTTTAGTTAATTGAGTCTGCAGGTATCAATATTAAGGTTGGACTTGATAGTTTCAAATAATTTGAGCACTAGGCTAAAAGCCAATAATAATAAAATAATTATTAGTTTTTGCTGAAATCTTCATGTGTAAAAATTTTATATTTCTGACGTTTCGTGACAAAATGTTTTAATAGAGTTACTTGAAAATTCACTCTCTATACTGAAGACTAAGTAAACTTTATTATTTAGTTATATATATAATTGCTATGTTCCAATTTCACTTTAAATGTGTTCTGGAATATAAATAACCTGTAATTTTTTGACGTCAAAACTAGGCTGAACAACCTCAATATGGTTTTTGCTGTGGTCTTATTTTCGAAGTTCGATTGGTCTGTCCCGATGAACTCACAGATCCTCGGAATAACGTTTTACTTGTAAAGGTACGTTGCATTCATAAAACGTTTGATTCTTAGGTTAGCAACATCACATCTAATTAACTTATCTTGTTGGTTGCTAGTGTTCATTTGAGATGGTCGATAAACTGCCATAACGTCTAACTGTTTTCTCGTTCCATTACTTTTTCAGAATTTAAAGCCATCTTAAAATGCTCACTTTTACCTTTTTACTTACATGTGATTTTGTCGTATTAAATTGTTGTTCATAGTTACTCAATACTTATCGAGTCATATTGTCTATGCTTAGACCATTTTTTACTACCATTAGTAGTGCTGCTACTTCTAACTCTCGAAGATTTATCGTTATAATTTCATCCCATTGTGCTGAAATAATATGGAGACTTACACTGATGCACTTGTGTTTCAGGCTGTACGTTTCTTATGATTGATTGACTGAGTAACTCAATGTATCTAATTACTTTGGATCCGCCGCCATAAGTATAGTATTCTTTCAATCATACTAGATCTCTCAATAAGCATCCAGGAATTTCATTTTTTTTGTATGGTTTCAGATAACGCATCTAAAAAACTCAGAAATTTCTAGATCCTTTAGTTGATTGAGAATTACCAAAACTTAAGTATAAAACAAAACAACTGTAACCCGTAACAGCACATTATGCCGAATCGGTCACAATCAAACACTTCCTACACCCCGCTAACATCTCTCTTTTCTACACATTCAACCCTTCTTACATTCCTTTAGCGCCCCGCACCGCTAATGCAAGCGATACGAGTACACGAGACGCTATTCCTGGTCTCCTGAAATCCCATTATAAACCACATATTGAAGCCTTTAATGTCCGGACATTGTGTGAAATAGGACAAAAGGTTTCCTTAGCTACGAATCTGGAATCCCATGTCATCGATGTATGCTGTGTCTCGGAAACGCACATACAAGATCTGAGCAAAATCATTAGTTTTATTTAACCTTTTCCAGATAGAGAATCGACTCGGTTTACCTTTCATATATCTGGAAGCCCTTCTACTACTTCCCATGGCCTCGCTGGCGTAGGTATAGCATTGAGTTCTAGAGCAGAAATAGCTCTCCTAGATTGGGGCAGTACGTACTCAGAAAGATAGGGAAACCCGCGGTTGTCTCATCGTCGTCTCAGCGTACGCTCCCACTGATTGCAGTTCAGATGATGTAAAAGATGAGTTTTACAGCAACCCTTTGGACCTCCTCCAAAAGGTTAGGCGCTCTGATATAGTAATATTGACTGGTGACTTTGATGCTCAAGTAGGTAGACTAAGTGAAAAGGAAAGAAACCTGGGCGGACCTTGTGGTAACGTAGCTGATCGAACAGATAATGACTACCGTCTGCTGCAGCTATGCTCAGATAAGCCCCTATGTCTAGCGAACATTAACCTTAAGTATAAGGAAAAACATCTTTTGACCCGGTGACCCCCAAAGCTGACGCAACTAAATCACATCGCTATAAGCCATCTTTGGAGAGACTATATTGAAGACTGTTGCTCATTCTGGAGCACTTGTTTACATTCAGGCCATGCTCTAGTGCGAGCGCATATATGTTTAGAGCTTATTGGACGTTGGAAAGACACTACAAGGAAACTTCTTCGGGTCCTACTCAATGATAAAAAAGCTATGAATATATTTCAGGATAAAATAGCTTCGAACGATTTCCAAAAAGCTGTGGAAGCAGCAGTGATATCTGCTAGTAAGGTAAACCAGAAGGTTGGAGAGAAGCAGTGGATTTCAGATACATTTACCGAACTGATGGATGCCTGGCTTTGAGCGCGATGAGGAGTGGAGTTAGCTTAACCACAGGCTGATACAAAGCCTACGCAATGATCGTGAATGTTAGTGGGTAGCGAAAGCAAGAGCGATGGAAATAGCCGCCCTAATAAGGAACAATAGACAACGGCTCCTCCTTATCAAGGAAACCGGTACTAGAAATCCATCACTATTTCAGAAAAAGATGGGACTATTCTTCTTTCTCAACCCAGGAGATTCGATCGATGGGCAGAACGCTTCAGGGATCAGTTTAATTGGCCTTCAGCTACACCTTGGTTGCTCACGACCTTCAGTCCAACGGGATGGCAAATTAGTGTAGGCGCTCCTACTCTTAATGAAGTTGTGAAGGCTATGTGAAATCTAGGGGATGATAGAGCAGCGGGTCCTTATAGATTGACCCCTGAGATATTTAAGTATGGTGGTCCACTTTTAGCAGCTAGATTGACTGAGATCTTAGGTGGAATCTGGAAACTGATCGTAATCCCATCTGCCTAGTCTCAATCACTGATTGTCCCAACTTATATGAAAGGACAAAAGTCCTCTCGTGACAATCACAAGAGTGTCAGTCCAACTAATATAGTTTCTAAATTGTTAGCCCCGATTATACTTAGACACCTAACTAGAGCTCGTGAAGAGCAGACTAGAGAAAACCAGGCTGGTTTTCGACCTGGACGCGGCTGTATAGACCACATTTTCACACCACGACAGGTCCTGGAACACAGACACGCATTTAGGCGTCCGACAATAGTCATGTTCCTAGACCTAAAAGCGGCATTTGATTCAGTGGATCGTGAGGTTCTGTGACAGTGTTTGTCGTTGAATGGTGTACCAGTGGAGTACATCAACCTTATACTAGTTCTCTACTCGAACACCACAGGTCGAATTAGAGTTTATGGCGGACTGTCGTCGAAATTCATTACTTCAAGTGGTGTCCTTCAGAGATGTCCGCTCTCTCTATTCTCGTTTAACTTTGTCATAGACTTGCTCGTAGAGATGACATTATCTTCGTCTGACTTTTCATTAGTGAACCTTCTATCAGGAGACTTACTCGTTGACCTGGAATATGCCGATGACATAGTCCTACTTGGCGAAGAGGCTGACAAAATGGAGTCTCCAGACTACCCTAAGCAACAATGCAAGCCTTTTCGGGATGCGGTAACCCCCCGTTGAAACGCGAAATGTTGCTTCAGGATTGGGTTGTGTCGGTACCTAAACTTGTGTTAGGAAGTGAATTAGTTGAGCGTGTAGACCGCTTCACTTGTATGAAGTGTTTCATCAATGCTGACGAAATCTCAGCATGGATACAGAAAATTTGACTGGCTTTTTGTCAACCTGTGTCACTTATGGCGTAGGCAAGATATCCGTTTGCCAACCAAATGACGAGCCTACTGCCCAGCATTTCGCTCCATCCCACCATATGGAAGCGAAACATGGCCGGTAAGAGTAGAAGACATTTCTAGGTTATTAGTATTCGATCATAAGTGTCGTCGAAGCATTGCTCGTGTATCATGGGACAACCTAGTAATCAATGCTGTCGTTAGGAAACGAGTACTAGGTAAGGATGGAAGATCAATTGATGAAGTATGGAATCTCCATTAGCTGAGGTGGTTAGGACATTTGGTACGAACACCCAACCACTGACTGCCTCGTCGAGCTATGTTTTGAGACATAGGAATTGGTTGGAAGAAAGCCAGGGGCTGCAAAATCAAAACATGGAAGATATCCATGAAATCACTGACAAGTGGATTGAGTCACGTTGATAGGTGTCGACTACCTGGTTGAGGTATGTGAGATAATAGTAACTGATGGTTAAAGACTGAATGATATGGTTCGAAATCGTTTGGAATGGCGCAGGTGCATTCATCCTTTGTGTTATCTCAAATCCTAATCTTCCAAATTCCTCATCACTTTTATCGTTTATTTCTCTAGATTCTACTTCTTGACTAATATCTTCGAACCCTAATCTCTCCGATTACTGCTGATACTTCCACTACCTCTACTACTATGGGATTTGAATTGACACTTGCATCTCTGTACTAATGTGGTACGGCAACTTGAACTGATGTACTTGAGTACGAAGTTCTATGTTGCTGTTGATTAATTGATTGGGTACTGCTTCTTTAATAACTTTGTATTTGTTCATCGTAATAGTTGCTTCATTAAGGAGATCGTAAAAAGCTTGTAACTTATTTCTGTGTGCTATCTTGAATTCGTTGAATGATTCAGTATTTCAAAGTGAGGCCGTATTAAACTTTTGTGATACTGACTCTCTAGTTTTCTAGTACTTATTTAGTTTCAGTTTCATGAAGGTCGTCATCGGGTGTTGATCTGATTGTCTCTCATCTCCTCTTTTCGCTCTATTGTCTTGCATGGGCCTTCGGAACTTTCTTTTAATGCAGATATGGTCGATTCGGTTCTATGTATTGTGAGTGAATGTGGTGCATTTAGCTTTTTGTATGCGTTTGTGGGAATATGGTGCCTCCTAAAAATATTTCATTGAAGGCAAACATGCTTCATCAACTCTCAGGATTTTTGCTCTGTTTTCCCAATCAGTCTCGTTCTATTGTATCTTCATACCTAATGTTGTCCATTTCAACCTCTAAGTTTTGGTCTTCCATCAGGATGGTCAGGTCTTTTCTCGAACATTCCTTTGCAATTGACTACAGCTTCCTATAAAACTAATCTTCATTTTCTCCTATACTACCCAAGGTATATACACAACACTGAGTGAATGGAATTCATTTTAATCTCTCTTTGTTTTGATGATCCTGATTCTGAGATTTCCATCTCGTAAGTGCTTTTCGCGCTTTTTGGGATAGCCTCAGTGACCATAATACAACAGCATCTCTCTCTCAGCTTATGTTTTCTGTTCATCTGGCGTCCATTAGGCTTCACTTATTTTCAGCACCACCAACTTGTGTCTTTTTACTTTTGCGGCTACTTTAATAGTCCTCTCATTCTGCAAACATTCCATGCACCTATGTTAATTGTTGCTATGGTTTTCAGAAAGGGCATCTAGTCTCGGAACTTCCGAAGAATCATAGATTTTACCATGAGACGTCATAACTTTCAGGGTAGAGTTTAAATGGGTTTTTCGGGTTGACATTTTCTTCGCAAGTTTTTTACTGCAGTATAAGATTGCAAACCATTCTCCTTTAACTTGACCTGGGGACCCTGATAACCCCGCAAGGGTTTCTTGTGAAGTTAATCTTTTTAAAGATGTGTAAATCTTTTTCTCTACCTGAATAATTTCTGAGATTACTAAAATTGTCGTGTGTAATACCCTCGTTATTTAATTTGTAGACCGAATTTGGGGACCAAAAAATTTTTCAGTCGTCAGATGAATTAGATGCGAACGAATGGATTACTGCCATACGCAGTGGCTTACCACCATTGCGCAGGAATCCTGTTTCTCCGAAGTGTGACATTGACCTTAGTCGTATTATAACTTCAGTTCGATCTGAACGATGTACCAACTGTGATGCAATTCTGGATTCAAAATCAGCCCCCAATATGATGTCTCCAGTTCCGTTACTACCAAACAAAACTAATACTATTGAATTAAGTGTTGGATCAGATCATAGAAAGGTTCATGACACATCAGTATTTCATTCTACTAATTTCAAACCACTATGTACAGATGACTCAGCAAACCCTACCATTGTATCAACGTTTGCACATGTTTGTAGTCATGTGAATAGTGTACCGGATGTTTGGTCTGCTTCTACCAAATCTGATCGTTCTATTACAAATCATGGGTAAACTAATTTTTGCCAATTTTTACTTCAGGCACTTTTTAGTCCTTTTACGTATACTAATACTCTTAATCGATCAAAATTAGTTCATTATCAAATTCTATTCGGATGACGGTTCGGAAGTAAAAACCAGTATTTCTCTGATTTTAGTATCTGGATTATTCCGTAAAGTCTAAAACTAAGATGGTTAAGTAGTAGTTTCGTAAAACTAACTTTCAAATTTCCGGAATTTAGGATAGGATTCTTTTCAGTACCATGAGGAACCGGAAAACTTTAATCTTAATATATATCATCAGGGAATACATTCAACTACGGACAATGATTTATATTGATAACTGAAAAACTGTAAAGTGTCTAACGAGATTTATTTACTTTACTGGATAAATGTAGGTACAACGGTGCACCAAAATATATATGCGCCACATAAATCATTGAATCTTTATGTAGTCTGGGACACTGTCTGGATGCTCAGACTGAAGTAGTTGGTTTTCTTAAGGGACCCAGAGGTAATTCACATGACTGTGGAGCAACGTTGGAAGATGCAGTCGGTGACAAAGAATAGGTTCATATACCAATTGTTCACTTAGGATCTTGGAACCCATCTGTACCATTGGTTTGCAATCAGGGTTTTCCAACTACCCTAGGTAGATTCTTCTTACACACAAGCTCGGTTTAAGTCCCGAAGGACATCCGCTTTTCATCCTCTCAATTTTATAAACAGCACCCCACGACGAGAAGTCTGTGAGTAGGACTTCTCTGGCATTAGTTATATACGCGTGTCCATATGAGGGCATTTCGAAAGAAAAAGCAGACTCTCCCCACCCTCTGCCATACCAGTGAGTTTCGAGTTCAAGGTATTTGGTCAGCAATAATCGCATTATGTTGCGCATGTCACGCTCCGTAAGCCCCCTTAATAGACAATCAAATGCATAACGTTCAGGCGATATGGTCTCAAGTGAATGAGTATAATTTTATGATGACTATAGGGATATGATGCTTTAAAAGATAAATTTTTATGCTTCATTTATTATTGAGATATTGGAGAAAATGTGTGATAGGCTATCATTCTCTGAACTCTGAAATATATTATGCTTACAAAACAGATGGGCCTGTTTCAAGTTCTTGGATCATACAAAAGGTTTATATCTATTCTAGTTACTTTATTCTCTTTAAGAATTATTTCTTCATATCACCTGCTTTCTGGTTGACAAGGTCGTTTTTTCGGTATAGTTTCTCCGCGATTGTCAAGTGAGCATTTGTTGAACTTGTCGCTTTATAGTAGTATCAGTGGCATTTTCCGTTTTCACTTCAAAATTAGTATTTAGCAGATAAAATGTAAAACAGTTATATATATAATCTGTCATTTTTTGTAACTGCCTCTCTGATGAATTGTTCAGAAAGCAACGCTATTCGAGAGGTATTTAAGCAAAATATGTTATTTAGTTAGACTCAGTTATGCATATGCTAGCTGATTCATCGTGTGTCGGTTTAGGTGCGTTCTGATAGATAATTTGTGTGAAATTTAACCATTCGTCTATTGTATTGTTGTATAAACTTTCGTCAGTCAGTAAATTACAGATGTAATATTTACATAATTAGTACTTCAAATGTATATTGCCTACCAGTTTAGTCATTTTTGTACAAATTGATCGAAAAATCCTCCTAAGATTGATTTCTTGTTTATCACATCATTTTCTTTGGGCAATGTTTTACATGGAGACGACTGAATTATTCAAATATTTTCATTGTCTGGAGTTAACGTATCACATAAAAATTCTTTTTTAACTTGCATATTTTTTATTTTGTTGACCACGTCTGTAGTATTAATCTTAGTCAATCAGATGGATGCACTACTACAATGAGCAATACAATCTCTTCTCATGGATTAATAAAACCTACTGGTATGTTTACTTCTCCTGTTTTCATTATTATTTATCTAATCATGTATCCCTTTTCGTAATATGATATTTTACTGAATATACTATTTTATTTGTTTATTTATCGAATTCATGAAACAACTAACAAACTAAGTTACATGGGAATTTTTATTATGATACAGGTGAATGTCGAGTGTATTGATAGAAATTAATAGCAATGAATTGTATGAGCAGAAAGTTTACATGAATATAATATAGGTTTTACTTAAATAAGAGCATATTAAGAGACTTCAATAAAACAATCAATGAGTTCACTTTTAAATCTTACCCGATAATATTTTAAACGAGCTTCACGTTGCTGTGGAATTTCATAAATGGAAAATTTATCTCTCTTTCACCCAGTCTCAGCATTAGTTTTCAAGAACAATAATATTCAAACAATTAGTCCCTTTTATAAATTTTGATAAAACAGTGAGAATTTACAGTGAAATTACCGTGGTAATTTTTAAGCCATATTTATGGCCTAGGGTAAAGTGACAATTTTCTTATTCCTCCTAGATTACGTTAATTTTCTCTCTGTTCTTCACTTACAATTATCACCTTATGTCTATTTGAACTTTTATTTAATTGACCTCTTATTAATTTTCATATAAAATGCCTTGACACTGCACGTGTGACCAGATTGTTCGAAATGTATATCGCAAATACATCACATTGTTCAGATGAATTACGTCTTATCACTGTTCTAACTATAATAATAATACTCAGAATGAATATCTCTCAATCGATTATTCTAACTATGCTGTGTTGGGTCAGTTACTACGGCAACTTTACGTTTTGTTCTGTATAACTCCTATTTAGTTCGTCATAAAATGGTAATCCTTAGTTGTCTTTCTTTCTACAAAATAGTTCGACATATTTGTAAATTAAAATGTAAAGCGGGTTAGTTTATGACCGAAATATTAATAGTGTTTTTCGATTCTCCGTGTGTGACATCTGATAGATTTGTGTAAATCTTTATACGAAAATATGCACCGTCATCTAATCCTTAAAGTCAGTAGCGATTTCCTTAAATGGCAAAGTATTGTGTGATATATTATCTCTTTGTACTAAGTCAAGTAGAATCGTTTGAAAAGGTTGGTTCGACTTCTAGTGCTCAGACAAATATGCTTCATTTTCAGTATTTGAAACTCCACTTGGTCACTAAATCGCGTTAGTTGTTTTCACAGATACAAATAGGCAAATAAAGCGTCTCGTGGAACTACTGAGTTTTGTAGGCATTCATATACAAATTGATTCACTTTTTCTCAATACCTTTTAAAATAGGGACTGAAACTTATGTGTGAGGATAATTTGTTTCCACTCGTTCTTTTGATCTCACGTATTAACTGCTTATTGGTGTTATAAATATTTTTTTTAGTTCTTTGTCCTACTCCATCGCGAGTTTCTACTTTCGCTCCGGGATTTCTACATACACCAACTTCCTCTCATCCAGTTTCATTACATTCGATTGGCAGACTAGATAAAAGCAATAGATTATGCAGTTTGACAAACAATACTTTACTAGAACAAATTAATTCACCGATAACAAATCAGTCAAGAGTTGATAGTCTTCGAAGTGGAGCATTTTCTGTCCTCAATTCTTCAAGTAATCTACCACGTGTTTCTTCGTTAACTTCTGGTTTTGAAGATTTAATTGGACAACAGCTTTCTATTTACCCATGGTATCATGGGACACTTTCACGAGTTCGAGCCGCTAGTTATGTATTAGGTCAACTTTCGGAATTTGAACATGGGAATGCGCAACAGAACTTAATTTCACCGGAAGCTGCTAGAATAAATTTTAACTCTGAACAAAATACTACTGACTTATCAAATATCTCTCCTGCCTTGTCAACTACGGATGGTGTATTTCTTGTGCGTCAAAGTGAAACAAAACAGGGTGAATTCGTCTTAACATTTAGTTGTCATGGTAAACCTAAGGTGAGTATACACTCCTGTTATCACCTCTGAATTATCAAATCACATTCTATTATTTAAAGTATCTTTTGTATTCAATCTATAGTTAATTATTAGCATACAAAGATACTTTAAATAATAGAATGTGATTTGATAATTCAGAGGTGATAACAGGAGTGTATACTCACCTTAGGTTTACCATGACAACTAAATGTTAAGACGAATTCACCCTGTTTTGTTTCACTTTGACGCACAAGAAATACACCATCCGTAGTTGACAAGGCAGGAGAGATATTTGATAAGTCAGTAGTATTTTGTTCAGAGTTAAAATTTATTCTAGCAGCTTCCGGTGAAATTAAGTTCTGTTGCGCATTCCCATGTTCAAATTCCGAAAGTTGACCTAATACATAACTAGCGGCTCGAACTCGTGAAAGTGTTCCATGATACCATGGGTAAATAGAAAGCTGTTGTCCAATTAAATCTTCAAAACCAGAAGTTAACGAAGAAACACGTGGTAGATTACTTGAAGAATTGAGGACAGAAAATGCTCCACTTCGAAGACTATCAACTCTTGACTGATTTGTTATCGGTGAATTAATTTGTTCTAGTAAAGTATTGTTTGTCAAACTGCATAATCTATTGCTTTTATCTAGTCTACCAATCGAATGTAATGAAACTGGATGAGAGGAAGTTGGTGTATGTAGAAATCCCGGAGCGAAAGTAGAAACTCGCGATGGAGTAGGACAAAGAACTGAAAAAAATATTTATAACATCAATAAGCAGTTAATATGTGAGATCAAAAGAACGAGTGGAAACAAATTATCTTCACACATAGGTTTCAGTCCCTATATTAAAAGGTATTGAGAAAAAGTGAATCAATTTGTATATGAATGCCTACAAAACTCAGTAGTTCCACGAGACGTTTAATTTATCTATTTGTATCTGTGAAAACAACTAACGCGATTTAGTGACCAAGTGGAGTTTCAAATACTGAAAATGAAGCATATTTGTCTGAGCACTAGAAGTCGAACCAACCTTTTCAAACGATTCTACTTGACTTAGTACAAAGAGATAATATATCACACAATACTTTGCCATTTAAGGAAATCGCTACTGACTTTAAGGATTAGATGACGGTGCTTATTTTCGTATAAAGATTTACACAATCTATCAGATGTTACACACAAAGAATCGAAAAGCACTATTAATATTTCGGTCATAAACTAACCCGCTTTACATTTTAATTCACAAATATGTTGAACTATTTTGTAGAAAGAAAGACAACTAAGGATTACCATTTTATGACGAACTAAATAGGAGTTATACAGAACAAAACGTAAAGTTGCCGTAGTAACTGACCCAACACAGCATAGTTAGAATAATCGATTGAGAGATATTCATTCTGAGTATTATTATTATAGTTAGAACAGTGATAAGACGTAATTCATCTGAACAATGTGATGTATTTGCGATATACACATTTCGAACAATCTGGTCACACGTGCAGTGTCAAGGCATTTTATATGAAAATTAATAAGAGGTCAATTAAATAAAAGTTCAAATAGACATAAGGTGATAATTGTAAGTGAAGAACAGAGAGAAAATTAACGTAATCTAGGAAGAATAAGAAAATTGTCACTTTACCCTAGGCCATAAATATGGCTTAAAAATTACCAGGGTAATTTCACTGTAAATTCTCACTGTTTTATCAAAATTTATAAAAGGGACTAATTGTTTGAATATTATTGTTCTTGAAAACTAATGCTGAGACTGGGTGAAAGAGAGATAAATTTTCCATTTATGAAATTCCACAGCAACGTGAACTCATTGATTGTTTTATTGAAGTCTCTTAATATGCTCTTATTTAAGTAAAACCTATATTATATTCATGTAAACTTTCTGCTCATACAATTCATTGCTATTAATTTCTATCAATACACTCGACATTCACCTGTATCATAATAAAAATTCCCATGTAACTTAGTTTGTTAGTTGTTTCATGAATTCGATAAATAAACAAATAAAATAGTATATTCAGTAAGATATCATATTACGAAAAGGGATACATGATTAGATAAATAATAATGAAAACAGGAGAAGTAAACATACCAGTAGGTTTTATTAATCCATGAGAAGAGATTGTATTGCTCATTGTAGTAGTGCATCCATCTGATTGACTAAGATTAATACTACAGACGTGGTCAACAAAATAAAAAATATGCAAGTTAAAAAAGAATTTTTATGTGATACGTTAACTCCAGACAATGAAAATATTTGAATAATTCAGTCGTCTCCATGTAAAACATTGCCCAAAGAAAATGATGTGATAAACAAGAAATCAATCTTAGGAGGATTTTTCGATCAATTTGTACAAAAATGACTAAACTGGTAGGCAATATACATTTGAAGTACTAATTATGTAAATATTACATCTGTAATTTACTGACTGACGAAAGTTTATACAACAATACAATAGAGGAATGGTTAAACTTCACACAAATTATCTATCAGAACGCACCTAAACCGACACACGATGAATCAGCTAGCATATGCATAACTGAGTCTAACTAAATAACATATTTTGCTTAAATACCTCTCGAATAGCGTTGCTTTCTGAACAATTCATCAGAGAGGCAGTTACAAAAAATGACAGATTATATATATAACTGTTTTACATTTTATCTGCTAAATACTAATTTTGAAGTGAAAACGGAAAATGCCACTGATACTACTATAAAGCGACAAGTTCAACAAATGCTCACTTGACAATCGCGGAGAAACTATACCGAAAAAACGACCTTGTCAACCAGAAAGCAGGTGATATGAAGAAATAATTCTTAAAGAGAATAAAGTAACTAGAATAGATATAAACCTTTTGTATGATCCAAGAACTTGAAACAGGCCCATCTGTTTTGTAAGCATAATATATTTCAGAGTTCAGAGAATGATAGCCTATCACACATTTTCTCCAATATCTCAATAATAAATGAAGCATAAAAATTTATCTTTTAAAGCATCATATCCCTATAGTCATCATAAAATTATACTCATTCACTTGAGACCATATCGCCTGAACGTTATGCATTTGATTGCCTATTAAAGGGGCTTACGGAGCGTGACATGCGCAACATAATGCGATTATTGCTGACCAAATACCTTGAACTCGAAACTCACTGGTATGGCAGAGGGTGGGGAGAGTCTGCTTTTTCTTTCGAAATGCCCTCATATGGACACGCGTATGTAACTAATGCCAGAGAAGTCCTACTCACAGACTTCTCGTCGTGGGGTGCTGTTTATAAAATTGAGAGGATGAAAAGCGGATGTCCTTCGGGACTTAAACCGAGCTTGTGTGTAAGAAGAATCTACCTAGGGTAGTTGGAAAACCCTGATTGCAAACCAATGGTACAGATGGGTTCCAAGATCCTAAGTGAACAATTGGTATATGAACCTATTCTTTGTCACCGACTGCATCTTCCAACGTTGCTCCACAGTCATGTGAATTACCTCTGGGTCCCTTAAGAAAACCAACTACTTCAGTCTGAGCATCCAGACAGTGTCCCAGACTACATAAAGATTCAATGATTTATGTGGCGCAGATATATTTTGGTGCACCGTTATACCTACATTTATCCAATAGAGTAAATAAAGCTCGTTAGACACTTTACAGTTTTTCAGTTATCAATATAAATCATTGTCCGTAGTTGAATGTATTCCCTGATGATATATATTAAGATTAAAGTTTTCCGGTTCCTCATGGTACTGAAAAGAATCCTATCCTAAATTCCGGAAATTTGAAAGTTAGTTTTAAGAAACTACTACTTAACCATCTTAGTTTTAGACTTTACGGAATAATCCAGATACTAAAATCAGAGAAATACTGGTTTTTACTTCCGAACTGTCATACGAATAGAATTTGATAATGAACTAATTTTGATCGATTAAGAGTATTAGTATAGGTAAAAGGACTAAAAAGTGCCTGAAGTAAAAATTGGCAAAAATTAATTTACCCATGATTTGTAATAGAACGATCAGATTTGGTAGAAGCAGACCAAACATCCGGTACACTACTGACATGACTACAAACATGTGCGAACGTTGATACAATGGTAGGGTTTGCTGAGTCATCTGTACATAGTGGTTTGAAATTAGTAGAATGAAATACTGATGTGTCATGAACCTTTCTATGATCTGATCCAACACTTAATTCAATAGTATTAGTTTTGTTTGGTAGTAACGGAACTGGAGACATCATATTGGGGGCTGATTTTGAATCCAAAATTGCATCACAGTTGGTACATCGTTCAGATCGAACTGAAGTTATAATACGACTAAGGTCAATGTCACACTTCGGAGAAACAGGATTCCTGCGCAATGGTGGTAAGCCACTGCGTATGGCAGTAATCCATTCGTTCGCATCTAATTCATCTGACGACTGAAAAATTTTTTGGTCCCCAAATTCGGTCTACAAATTAAATAACGAGGGTATTACACACGACAATTTTAGTAATCTCAGAAATTATTCAGGTAGAGAAAAAGATTTACACATCTTTAAAAAGATTAACTTCACAGGAAACCCTTGCGGGGTTATCAGGGTCCCCAGGTCAAGTTAAAGGAGAATGGTTTGCAATCTTATACTGCAGTAAAAAACTTGCGAAGAAAATGTCAACCCGAAAAACCCATTTAAACTCTACCCTGAAAGTTATGACGTCTCATGGTAAAATCTATGATTCTTCGGAAGTTCCGAGACTAGATGCCCTTTCTGAAAACCATAGCAACAATTAACATAGGTGCATGGAATGTTTGCAGAATGAGAGGACTATTAAAGTAGCCGCAAAAGTAAAAAGACACAAGTTGGTGGTGCTGAAAATAAGTGAAGCCTAATGGACGCCAGATGAACAGAAAACATAAGCTGAGAGAGAGATGCTGTTGTATTATGGTCACTGATGCTATCTCAAAAAGCGCGAAAAGCACTTACAAGATGGAAATCTCAGAATCAGGATCATCAAAACAAAGAGAGATTAAAATGAATTCCATTCACTCAGTGTTGTGTACATACCTTGGGTAGTATAGGAGACAATGAAGATTAGTTTTATAGGAAGCTGCAGTAAATTGCAAAGGAATGTTCGAGAAAAGACCTGACCATCCTGATGGAAGACCAAAACTTAGAGGTTGAAATGGACAACATTAGGTATGAAGATACAATAGAACGAGACTGATTGGGAAAACAGAGCAAAAATCCTGAGAGTTGATGAAGCATGTTTGCCTTCAATGAAATATTTTTAGGAGGCACCATATTCCCACAAACGCATACAAAAAGCTAAATGCACCACATTCACTAACAATACATAGAACCGAATCGACCATATCTGCATTAAAAGAAAGTTCCGAAGGCCCATGCAAGACAATAGAGCGAAAAGAGGAGATGAGAGACAATCAGATCAACACCCGATGACGACCTTCATGAAACTGAAACTAAATAAGTACTAGAAAACTAGAGAGTCAGTATCACAAAAGTTTAATACGGCCTCACTTTGAAATACTGAATCATTCAACGAATTCAAGATAGCACACAGAAATAAGTTACAAGCTTTTTACGATCTCCTTAATGAAGCAACTATTACGATGAACAAATACAAAGTTATTAAAGAAGCAGTACCCAATCAATTAATCAACAGCAACATAGAACTTCGTACTCAAGTACATCAGTTCAAGTTGCCGTACCACATTAGTACAGAGATGCAATTGTCAATTCAAATCCCATAGTAGTAGAGGTAGTGGAAGTATCAGCAGTAATCGGAGAGATTAGGGTTCGAAGATATTAGTCAAGAAGTAGAATCTAGAGAAATAAACGATAAAAGTGATGAGGAATTTGGAAGATTAGGATTTGAGATAACACAAAGGATGAATGCACCTGCGCCATTCCAAACGATTTCGAACCATATCATTCAGTCTTTAACCATCAGTTACTATTATCTCACATACCTCAACCAGGTAGTCGACACCTATCAACGTGACTCAATCCACTTGTTAGTGATTTCATGGATATCTTCCATGTTTTGATTTTGCAGCCCCTGGCTTTCTTCCAACCTATTCCTATGTCTCAAAACATAGCTCGACGAGGCAGTCAGTGGTTGGGTATTCGTACCAAATGTCCCAACCACCTCAGCTAATGGAGATTCCATACTTCATCAATTGATCTTCCATCCTTACCTAGTACTCGTTTCCTAACGACAGCATTGATTACTAGGTTGTCCCATGATACACGAGCAATGCTTCGACGACACTTATGATCGAATACTAATAACCTAGAAATGTCTTCTACTCTTACCGGCCATGTTTCGCTTCCATATAGCGGGATGGAGCAAAATGCTGGGCAGTAGGCTCGTCATTTGGTTGGCAAACGGATATCTTGCCTACGCCATAAGTGACACAGGTTGACAAAAAGCCAGTCAAATTTTCTGTATCCATGCTGAGATTTCGTCAGCATTGATGAAACACTTCATACAAGTGAAGCGGTCTACACGCTCAACTAATTCACTTCCTAACACAAGTTTAGGTGCCGACACAACCCAATCCTGAAGCAACATTTCGCGTTTCAACGGGGGGTTACCGCATCCCGGAAAGGCTTGCATTGTTGCTTAGGGTAGTCTGGAGACTCCATTTTGTCAGCCTCTTCGCCAAGTAGGACTATGTCATCGGCATATTCCAGGTCAACGAGCAAGTCTCCTGATAGAAGGTTCACTAATGAAAAGTCAGACGAAGATAATGTCATCTCTACGAGCAAGTCTATGACAAAGTTAAACGAGAATAGAGAGAACGGACATCTCTGAAGGACACCACTTGAAGTAATGAATTTCGACGACAGTCCGCCATAAACTCTAATTCGACCTGTGGTGTTCGAGTAGAGAACTAGTATAAGGTTGATGTACTCCACTGGTACACCATTCAACGACAGACACTGTCACAGAACCTCACGATCCACTGAATCAAATGCCGCTTTTAGGTCTAGGAACATGACTATTGTCGGACGCCTAAATGTGTGTCTGTGTTCCAGGACCTGTCGTGGTGTGAAAATGTGGTCTATACAGCCGCGTCCAGGTCGAAAACCGGCCTGGTTTTCTCTAGTCTGCTCTTCACGAGCTCTAGTTAGGTGTCTAAGTATAATCGGGGCTAACAATTTAGAAACTATATTAGTTGGACTGACACTCTTGTGATTGTCACGAGAGGACTTTTGTCCTTTCATATAAGTTGGTACAATCAGTGATTGAGACTAGGCAGATGGGATTACGATCAGTTTCCAGATTCCACCTAAGATCTCAGTCAATCTAGCTGCTAAAAGTGGACCACCATACTTAAATATCTCAGGGGTCAGTCTATAAGGACCCGCTGCTCTATCATCCCCTAGATTTCACATAGCCTTCACAACTTCATTAAGAGTAGGAGCGCTTACACCAATTTGCCATCCCGTTGGACTGAAGGTCGTGAGCAACCAAGGTGTAGCTGAAAGCCAATTAAACTGATCCCTGAAGCGTTCTGCCCATCGATCGAATCTCCTGGGTTGAGAAAGAAGAATAGTCCCATCTTTTTCTGAAATAGTTTGGCTAATAGATGGATTTCTAGTACCGGTTTCCTTGATAGGGAGGAGCCGTTGTCTATTGTTCCTTATTAGGGCGGCTATTTCCATTGCTCTTGCTTTCGCTACCCACTAACATTCACGATCATTGCGTAGGCTTTGTATCAGCCTGTGGTTAAGCTAACTCCACTCCTCATCGCGCTCAAAGCCAGGCATCCATCAGTTCGGTAAATGTATCTGAAATCCACCGCTTCTCTCCAACCTTCTGGTTTACCTTACTAGCAGATATCACTGCTGCTTCCACAGCTTTTTGGAAATCGTTCGAAGCTATTTTATCCTGAAATATATTCATAGCTTTTTTATCATTGAGTAGGACCCGAAGAAGTTTCCTTGTAGTGTCTTTCCAACGTCCAATAAGCTCTAAACATATATGCGCTCGCACTAGAGCATGGCCTGAATGTAAACAAGTGCTCCAGAATGAGCAACAGTCTTCAATATAGTCTCTCCAAAGATGGCTTATAGCGATGTGATTTAGTTGCGTCAGCTTTGGGGGTCACCGGGTCAAAAGATGTTTTTCCTTATACTTAAGGTTAATGTTCGCTAGACATAGGGGCTTATCTGAGCATAGCTGCAGCAGACGGTAGTCATTATCTGTTCGATCAGCTACGTTACCACAAGGTCCGCCCAGGTTTCTTTCCTTTTCACTTAGTCTACCTACTTGAGCATCAAAGTCACCAGTCAATATTACTATATCAGAGCGCCTAACCTTTTGGAGGAGGTCCAAAGGGTTGCTGTAAAACTCATCTTTTACCTCATCTGAACTGCAGTCAGTGGGAGCGTACGCTGAGACGACGATGAGACAACCGCGGGTTTCCCTATCTTTCTGAGTACGTACTGCCCCAATCTAGGAGAGCTATTTCTGCTCTAGAACTCAATGCTATACCTACACCAGCGAGGCCATGGGAAGTAGTAGAAGGGCTTCCAGATATATGAAAGGTAAACCGAGTCGATTCTCTATCTGGAAAAGGTTAAATAAAACTAATGATTTTGCTCAGATCTTGTATGTGCGTTTCCGAGACACAGCATACATCGATGACATGGGATTCCAGATTCGTAGCTAAGGAAACCTTTTGTCCTATTTCACACAATGTCCGGACATTAAAGGCTTCAATATGTGGTTTATAATGGGATTTCAGGAGACCAGGAATAGCGTCTCGTGTACTCGTATCGCTTGCATTAGCGGTGCGGGGCGCTAAAGGAATGTAAGAAGGGTTGAATGTGTAGAAAAGAGAGATGTTAGCGGGGTGTAGGAAGTATTTGATTGTGACCGATTCGGCATAATGTGCTGTTACGGGTTACAGTTGTTTTGTTTTATACTTAAGTTTTGGTAATCTAGTTCCAATTATTCTCAATCAACTAAAGGATCTAGAAATTTCTGAGTTTTTTAGATGCGTTATCTGAAACCATACAAAAAAAATGAAATTCCTGGATGCTTATTGAGAGATCTAGTATGATTGAAAGAATACTATACTTATGGCGGCGGATCCAAAGTAATTAGATACATTGAGTTACTCAGTCAATCAATCATAAGAAACGTACAGCCTGAAACACAAGTGCATCAGTGTAAGTCTCCATATTATTTCAGCACAATGGGATGAAATTATAACGATAAATCTTCGAGAGTTAGAAGTAGCAGCACTACTAATGGTAGTAAAAAATGGTCTAAGCATAGACAATATGACTCGATAAGTATTGAGTAACTATGAACAACAATTTAATACGACAAAATCACATGTAAGTAAAAAGGTAAAAGTGAGCATTTTAAGATGGCTTTCAATTCTGAAAAAGTAATGGAACGAGAAAACAGTTAGACGTTATGGCAGTTTATCGACCATCTCAAATGAACACTAGCAACCAACAAGATAAGTTAATTAGATGTGATGTTGCTAACCTAAGAATCAAACGTTTTATGAATGCAACGTACCTTAACAAGTAAAACGTTATTCCGAGGATCTGTGAGTTCATCGGGACAGACCAATCGAACTTCGAAAATAAGACCACAGCAAAAACCATATTGAGGTTGTTCAGCCTAGTTTTGACGTCAAAAAATTACAGGTTATTTATATTCTAGAACACATTTAAAGTGAAATTGGAACATAGCAATTATATATATAACTAAATAATAAAGTTTACTTAGTCTTCAATATAGAGAGTGAATTTTCAAGTAACTCTATTAAAACATTTTGTCACGAAACGTCAGAAATATAAAATTTTTACACATGAAGATTTCAGCAAAAACTAATAATTATTTTATTATTATTGGCTTTTAGCCTAGTGCTCAAATTATTTGAAACTATCAAGTCCAACCTTAATATTGATACCTACAAACTCAATTAACTAAAATATGGTAACCATAGGCTTTCGGCTTATTTATTATACAACCATGTAACGACTGCAATAAATCTTTCTATTTTACTTTTGTTTGAAGGACTTAAGTGCGGACATAAAGAGAACGATTCATTTTTAAAGAAAGCATTCACTACAAATCGTGATGATAAATACTAGGAGGTACTATTAGAAACACAATAGCAATTGGTACACTTCCCCTCTATTTTTCTCTGGAGATATGAGGAGAAAATGCATGATAGTTCGTGAACTGAATGTATTTTGCAGTGCGAAAATGACTGAAAACTATTGGCGGACAAATACTGTTGGAATACATTCTAGTATTTAAAAATTAGCTATATATCAAGGTGGAATTTATAACAATATTCAGCATTTTGTGCAAACAATTCTTGATTGCATCTCGATACGTAATGGTGAAGAAATGAATCATTATCAAAATTATAAAGCGTAGTAGTAGTTCGCTTGAGAAAGGCACAAACAGAAAGAATTCTTTTAATTAAAGAGGTTCCTCTCACTTGTATGAAGTAAAATAAAATCGCAGCAGGAACGCCATTAGCTTTTATTCTGTGTTATGTATGATTACGTCTCAAGCTAGAGTGACGTGCATCAGCCTCAGTGCATGCAAGTTCACAAACTCTGACTGAACAAAACGGTTGTTAGGAACGCAAAGAAAAAGACAATGAAACGTACGAAGAAAACTAATCGTGAAAGAAGACAATAGAACAAATTAATGTACTGTTTCTGACATAACCAGAACCTTCAATCTAACTTCCGTATATCTTACTCTATGATCCCAACCTATAGCTCAATAAAGCTTCAAACAAGACAATGATGACCATACCATTTAATCTTAAACCTAAATTTGGTAATGTGAGACATTACAGTAGCTGTCTTAGTTCTAAGACCTTTTAGACCACAAGTGGCATCACTAGGTTTGGTTAAAAGAACCTCAAATCTATTTAAGTAAAGAAGTTAGAATAAAATGCTTTAATCAGTTTGGTTTATACTTAGACAACAGTTACATAACTTCGTTAAAAATTGATGGAACTGTCATCCTGCGATCAAGTATGCTTAATTTGTCTTGTGAAAACTGTTGTCGGATAACAATGATCATGTAAAGAAATTATGAAAACTTTATGATATGGGTAACAAGACTATAAAAACTACACCATCATAAAAATTATCCACCTACATACAATAAAAACAAGAGTAACTCGACATACGGACAAGTAATATTGGCTAGTTGACGTAAATCAAGTGGCAAAAAAGATAGTAACACACCTACTGGAAAGAACCAAATTACTTCTCAATGTCATCTATTCATGAAAATGATCAAGAACATTTTCATAAAGATGATAAACTAAGAATCACCTGACTATTTTATTTTGAACATATGAACAATACAAATAATGTGTGATCACTTACGTCAGGAGGAGTAAATATTTCTAAGATTAGGCCTGCACTTGTACTACACAAGCAAAGACGAGACTGAGCCCACTGCGTGCTTTTCTTTTCAGTCCCAGCTTCAGGATTATTCATCTTTTCACAATCAATACGAGGACGATGTGAATCAAAGTGTGGACCAAGCCACTGCATCACAATACCTTCACGAACTAGTTGGGCATTTATATTTACAGCAGTCCCGGGAGCACGAGGATAAGGACTAATATATTTTTGATTGGAAATAAAAAAATAACACCCAAGTGACTAGTTAGAAGTACACAATACAACAATGCATCCTTCGATTAACCTAATTTATATTTGTAAATCATAAAACAAATTCAGCTTGGTAATCTGTGACATTGGTACGTGGGGCAAAGATGACAATAAAACAGTCTTTTACACGGTTTAATAGGAAGCTCTAGAATACTCACCAAACGCGCAACGCTAAAAGATTTAAGAATTAATAGTTTGAAACTTATCTTCGCACATACATGACCTATAATTGTTAGTTGGTATGTATTGTAACTTATGGGGAATCGATCGTCGACATGTGTTTACACAAAAAGTCTGGTGAATACTTGTTTATTTATGCTTCTCGCTACACCAAAATGTACCAGTTTGTTTGTCATGCTCATAGAACATACTAACGAAACACTTTATTATTATAAAGTCGCGAGCTGGTTTAGGTAGGAAACATCAATTAGTTTATGTTGTCAGAATAAAGATTTCACACTACAGCTTTTAGTGAGATGAAACCAACTTGTGAAAACTGGAAGATCTTTAAAGGTAAACTGATAAAGTTGCAAGTATGATTAAAGTAGCAAGTGCCAATTTGCAATCACCTTCTAGCTCAATATTCGTTGTTAACCAAAGTTGACGGGTCGTCAAAATGGTCAATTTACTAGTAATGATAAAAATCATATTGCAATGTGACATGTTTACTGCATGCAAAACTTTGTGTGCTGGAACTGCATAATCATATAAATTTTAAAGGTTAATCGTATTTTCAGGTGTTTATAACTCAATAGGTGGAAAGATTCATAAATTCAAAGCCACCAAGTCATAAAAAACTACGAACTTGTTCACTGTTTGTAGGAGCAAAACCATACAAAAATAGATCACTAGAATGACGCAAAACGAAAACTGATAGATTAAACGTGGTAATTCTATCTTTTTTTCATAAATCTGATTGTCCTATCATTCTGAAATTACACAAACTTAGATTCATAAAGTTACTTTCGTTTTACGAGCGTGTAGATTATTAAACTCATTTGTAAGTTGCATTCGTCCTGGAGGGACGAATGAATGCAAAAGGTTGGTTTCAGCACTACCAATCTACACTAAAGAATTTCAAGATAGAAGTTAACTCTTTACAGCATGAGTAATCAACTTAATTGTTGTATAAACATAAAATTTCTCACCCCCCACATTTTTCGCCAGAACTGTCTACATTCAGAGGTGATCTACGACGCCAAGCAATCGTAAAGCTACGTCGGAACCACAGGGAACTCAAACGCCAACTTGGTTTGCTTTCAGAAATACCTGGGCTTAGTGAAGAATCTGTGTGCAGTTTTGTATGCTGCTCTCCCAACCAGTGATGCTTTTGATGGAAATCTTGCTGTCCAACTGAAGACTGTCGATTAGCACTTTTGTTGGGAGCACTTCTTGAATGTCGAGTTCTTGAGAAAATATTTTTTGACGTCTTATCTGGAGGCATATCACAGCTTTTGCCACGAGGTGAAGTGTTGCGAACCCCTGAGGCAGCCACAGCCTTGGATCGAGCGGCTGCTACCACAGCACTGGCATTAGCATATGCAATGTGGGAAAGATTTTCACTTAATTCTGTGAGGGAAGAGTTGATAGACAAGTTTTCATCCTTGAAAGACAAACGTTCATTTGTATTTTTGTGATCAGCACCTAGCATAATGAATGAAAACTTTTAACGATTAACTAGAAAATTCAACAAAAATAGGTAGCATCACATTAATAACAAAAAATCATTTACCAATTTCAAGTTTATGACAAGTTTCTTTAAATAAAATATAATACCGTCCTTCAATTGCCTTATTATATGCGATTGGAAGCGTCATGTATACAGAAATAGGATTATCTCTAAATTTAAAGATACGTGACGCAGATAAGACAGTCAAGTTGGCGAAAAGCATATAAGCATCTAAAAGTTTAAAAAGAACCGTGTACAGCTGACACCAACTTTCGGTTTTGAAGTCAACTATGACCTAATCATGACTGCCATAACTGATAGCTTTTTAGCTTTCCCTATTACTTGATTAAAAGTTACTACCATGGGTGGAGCAGTATTATATCAACATCCTACCGAAGAATATGGAGAAATCAACAAGTAAGAACCTCAGGAAAATCCAGTGAAATATGCTGATATCTTAACATGATCATGAAACGCTAAAGATTTATTGACTGAGTAGCCTCCGTGAACAGTTTTCACTGTATTTGTAATAGTGTCTACCTACAGTACGACAAGGATTTGCTGACTGATTAGCTTAATGTTCCACGTGACCACAATCTAGATCAACCCATTTAAGAAAAAAAGCAAGGAGCGAGATAAATTAAACAGGGACTTTCAGATAATTCCCATTGTATTATGAACATTTCTTGAAGTTCATTGACACTTAGAGAAACTGAGCTTGATTATGGCACCAAACTTAGTTTATGCAGTGAAAACTGATCATCTCCACCAGCACGCGATTACTGACTTACAACCATGATTCGCCAATTACGAGTCAAGCTTAATGATGTGATAGCGTTACCATACATTCAAATCCATTGAAACTGATAGCTGGGTGTTTTAAACGAGTATTTCATTTCTTATGGATGAAGAATGAGTAACTAGGATACGCCATAACGCTATTTACATATTTAACAAGAGATTACGATGTATAGAGTAAGATATCATATCCGTATTTCACAACAGTCAGTCAGTCAGTCAGATGCAACGTAGAACTTTGTACATAAGTACATCAGTTCATGTTGCCATACCACATCAGCACAGAGAAGTAATCGTCAATTCAAATCCAATAGTAGAAGAGGTAGTAAGGGAATTAGAGATAATCGGAGAGGTTAGGATTAGAAGATACTACTCAAGAAGTATGATTCAGTGAGAAAAGTTTAGAGAGTCGAAACTAGAGGTGTTGAAGAATCCAGAAGATTAGCATTTGAGAGAACACAGAGAATAAATGCACCGGCGCCATTGCGAACGATTTTGAGCCATGTCATTCAAGGTCTCTAACCATCGATTATTATCATCTCGCGGACCCCAACCAGGTAGTCGACAATTACCGACATGGCTCAGTCCACTCGTCAATGACTTCATGGATTTCTGCCATGTTTTGGTTTGGCCGCCACTAACTTTCTTCCAAACTACTCCTACACTACAAAACAAAGCTCTTCGAGGCAGCCGGTGGTTGGGCATACGCAACACATGTCCCAACCACCTCAACTGGTGAAGTTTCAATACTTCATCGATTGATCTGCCATTCTTACCTAGCACCCGATTCCTAATAACAGCGTTGCTCACTCGGGTGTCCCAGGATATACGAGCAATGCTTCGAAGACACCTATGATCGAAAACCAGTAACCTACGAATATCTTCTACTCTCACTGGCCATGTTTCACAGCCATAAAGTAAGACGGAGCGAACTACTGCGCAGTACACTCGTCCTTTAGTCAGCAAACGGATATCTCGCCTACGCCATAAGTGACGCAGGTTGGCAAAAGCCAATCGAGCCTTCTGTATCCGAGCTGAGATTTCGTCAGTCACCAGGCCATCGGCACTGATGAGACTACCAAGATAAGTGAAGCGGTCTACACGTTCAACCACTTCACTCCCTATCACTAGTTCAGGTGCCAATGCAACCCAGTCTTGAAGCAACATTTTGCATTTCGAGGGGGAAAACCGCATCCCGAACATGCTTGCATTGTTGCTTAGGGTAGTCAGAAGACTCTGCATTTTGTCAGTGTCTTCACCAAGTAGGACAATGTCATCGGCATATTCTAAGTCAATAAGCGAGCCACCTGGTAGAAGGTCTACTCCTGAAAATTCAGACGAGGATAATGTTATGTCTAGGAGCATGTCTATGATAAAATTAAACAAGAATGGAGAAAGTGGACATCCCTGACGGACACCACTTGATGTAGAGAATTCCGGTGACAGTTCGCCATAAGCCCTCACCCGACCAGTGGTGTTCGAGTAAAGAGCTTGTATAAGGTTAATGTACTTCTGTGGTACACCTTTCAATGACAGACACTGCCACAGAACCTCACGATCAACAGAGTCAAATGCCGCCTTAAGGTCTAGGAAAACAACTATTGTAGGACGCCTAAATGTGTGTCTATGTTCCAGGACCTGTCTGAGTGTGAAGACGTGGTCTATACAGCCACGTCCAGGTCGAAAACCAGCCTGGTTTTCTCGAGTCTGCTCTTCACGAGCTTTCGTTAAGCGTCGAAGTATTATTGAGGCCAATATTTTAGATACTATATTAGTTAGACTTATTCCTCTGTGATTGTCACAAGAAGACTTTTGTCCTTTCTTATAGATTGGGACAATCAAGGATTGAGACCAGTCGGATGGGATTACGTCCAGTTCCCAGATTCTACCTAAGAGCTCGGTCAACCTAGTTGCTAAAACTGGACCACCATCCTTAAATATCTCAGGGGTCAGTCTATCAGGACCCGCAGCTCGCCCTCGCCATTTATTATAAATAGAGAGACTCGAACTGTGTGCAAAAGAACTTGCTTGTACTATGGTCGTGACCTACAAATTTTACACTGTTCTGATCGGGTGGCCACCGATATTTTATGAGTAGTTTGTTACTTAAGCTGGAAACATGGACCTACTACAAATCCTAAGATGTTATGTAAGGATACGAAAACTTAGTGTAAGTGATTCATTCACTTCAAAACATCAAGACAAGAACCATCAGTCAGGAGTAATTCACATGAAAAATGCACAGAAATATAACAAGTAATATCCTGCGTGTAATTTTTAACATAGTTCATGTTAAATAATACATAGAATGTCATACATTGAACAGAAATCACGCGCAAAACCAGATGTTACACTGAATAAAATACCACACTGAGAAGATAAATGGTATGATAGAAAGCCATCATACTGAATTAAAATGGAAGGAACCTTCTTTTTCATACTATCCTCTTGTCCTAACGAAACAGCTTCTTCACGTTTTTATAATTTCTGGATTGCATATTACTTTCCATCATGGAAGTCAAGACTTAAGCAAGCAACTGAAGGCTTAAACGGTGAGTTCATGCAAGTTAGCCCCACTCTCAATAGTAATATTTCATAAATTCAACGCCACTATGCTAATACAGTCAGGGGTACCAACACATACGTTCCCGACTACCTGATGTCGATAAAGTAAACGTAACTGCCTAATTTATTACAAGATATAAGGAATACGAGAGTGAATGATTGGTTTGTCATATATTATACTTAGTGTTAGATCAGAGAAGGCAGTAAAAAGAAACCACACAATATTAACGAATAACTGCGAACCAGAATAACAAGTGTTTTACCAATCAGAATAGGTATTCATACATATTTTCATAAATTAAACCAGAAAATAAACAAGTTTCAGGTAATGGAAGTCAGGTTCACGATTACGATAAACACATTAACCGCATAAAATATGACAAGGTACCTATTTTTGTCGACATTATTTCGGCAGGTTTGTTTTCCTGTACAAAATAGCACGGGGACAGAGATGTCTCGAATTTGCGACGCATTTTTTTAAATATAATTTCCAAAAACTCCAAACCACAACCAGGTTTGTCATCATGACGATTATCATTTAAATATGCCTTGAACAGCTGAAGTGCTTCAATTGATAGCCTAGTACTTGCGGATGAACAAAATTCACTCCATGTCTCCTCACGAGTCATAACAGTGGCTGAGGCCTGCACCTCCCCAGCCGAGCAAATCTGTCTTGAATTTAGGGCAGGGTATCAAGTAGCGTGCACAAATGATTTAGCTGCGAAAACTCAGCACGTGGTTCACTATCCAATGATTGTATAGTTTAACATTGCAATACTGTTTCATTTGCTTGTCCGTCAGATTGAGGTTTTGGTGTATTGATATTTCCTGAGCACTATTGCACAAACTTTAAATATCGAGTATCCAATATCCAATATCTCGTTCACGAGCTGGTGTTAAACCAATTGATTTCTTTGCGCTCGAGTTTTGTTCTTTCGATACGGTTCCAGGTGTTCGGTAGTGTCCAATGAATGGAGGTCTATCCACTCGACTGTCTAATTCTAGTCAGTTGGCAGTCGACTGTGAGACTATGAGGAATTCCTCTGACAAATTCAAAGAAACAATCCTTAAGCTTATCCATAGGTAAATGGAAGCGTCGGAAAACGTAAATTGGCAAGTGACTATTAGGAAGTATGAAGTTGTATTCTCGATAAGATGTGATGAAATCATGAACTGATGACTGTCAGATCACGATTAGAAACCTGGAAGCACTTTGATCAATCTAAGGTATTGAGAAATCTCACGTTTAGTGAGAAGCCGTGACCAATGGAGTTCGTCCCTGTTGAGTGTACGGAATAATTACCTAAGACTATAGGTGAGGCCGGGTAGTAACTTAAATTTATCAGAGTTAGACATTAACATCAGTGAATTCCGGCTCCGTGGTCTACATGTTATGAGGTGGCGCGTGAGACTGAAGATCTTGGCTCCGATACCTGCGAATGGAGGTCTTGGATGCGCACTACTATGTGTCAGACATCAGGACGCAACAGGCGTGCAGTGTTTCCAGGTTTCTAATGGTGATCTAATCATAATCTATTCGTGATTTCAGTGAAAAACAACAAGCTCCATAACCGTATAATGAAACTGCAGCGGGTTGGCCAATGTTTACAAAAGTCAATTAAACATACTATTTCCATCTTATGCGAAGTAACTTCCAAACACTATGAAGACGCTGATCCAGATATTAACCATCGTTTTGGTGTTTTCTGTACTCGGATAACGTTCTTCAGCTTTGTTTAATCCTAAAACTCATCAGCGAATGCAAATAAAGTGAAAACGTGAACCCTAAACTTGCTTAGTCCATATGTGCTTCATGATCATAACTAGAATAATTAACAAAGCTTCCAAAAGCGTTACAGTTTCGGTTCTCTTTATGTTTCTTTGTCTTGCTTTTGGAAGGATAATAGCAACTTATTACTTGAAACACATTTTTCTGTACTTAACTCTGCACAGAAAAAGAAGTCACTACGGCCAACTTAAGAGTAACGACTTAAACACTTTTGGCGGTAACAGCATAGATGGCTCATAGTAGCGTGATCAGAAATAACTGACTTGGTTCTACGACGGTTTATATCCAGTTAGTTCATTACCAAAATCACTGACTGAATCAAATGTTGAAAATCTTTTTTATCCTCATACAAGTATGACAGACTGTGTTGCCAACACACCTTTCTCAAAAAGTGTACAGAGAAGTGTGTGAATTCTTCTAAATTTGCATTATGGGGTTGTCGGAATTGTTGAGTTGCTTTCTGAAGTCGCGGGTCGATGAATGTTAGACCACCATTGGAAACCTGTAAGCACTGGACGACCACGTAATTCAAATAACCTGTCTCACTAGTGACCAGATTCGTGAGGAATCTTCTCTAAGTTCTTGTGAGAAGTAACCATCGGAGTTCAACCTTGTTCGGTTGTGAAGCATTGCTCACTGAAGACAGCCTATGAGGTTGTGTAAGATCGCGAATTGATCAAATTCAGACATTACCACAGTTAGATACCATCTCAGTGGTCCAAAGGCTAGACGTTCCATGCAAGACCGAAGGTCCAGAGCCCGATACCTGCGAGGTGCATGAGTCGAGGTTGCGCATTGCTCATGAGCCCCATACCATGACAGAATGGCTATCCAGTGCTTTTGTGATTCTCATGGTGGTCTAACATTGGTCGATTCATGATTTCGAAAAGTCTCATAATTTTGTTTTAATCCATTCTATAATTTGACAGTGACATTAAAAATGCTTCCCTGATACTAAAGCTATTGAGTATGATACTGTTACGTGAGTGTGCCACCAGATCAGTTCGACATTGTCTAGATCACCAATGTAGGTTATCTGAGTTGATGTCTACTAGAGCTAGACGGAAATGGTGTAACTCTCAACAACTAACATGAGTTGCAATATCTCCCTATCCATTCTCTGCGGCTGTTTTGATGGCTGTATGTAGCAAAAACAATATTATTACGGAAATAAATTAGTAAGAATGGGTGGAAGAAATAGAGTACTACCACTCTTATGCAGTTAACTGGTGCACACTGGGTGAATAAAAGGAGGATCAGTAAACTATTCGACACCGGCTAATCATCTGGTCAGGTGATGAGATAAAAGTCCAAGTGCATTGGTTCTACATACCAGTGCTTACATAACAGTGTTTCATTCATTTTCGTTTAAATAATCTCATCCTAGCTAGTCAATTAAATATGTTATTCAATACTAATCATCAGAAAATTATGAAGCTTCAGTATTCATTGTATTGGCTCTTCAATCAAAATAATTTCATTAAGCTATGGGCCTTTTGTGCTTGATTTTCTATTCATTAGATGTCCTTTGAATATGCGTTGCATTCACTTCATTCTCTAGACTGTGGTGAAACCACTTTTGAGAAGAGAACGCGATTGGTTTGATAGAAACATTTATTATTATAACCAACTGCAACGGTGATTGTTTAATTGTACTGTGTTTATAATAATTTTACGCCCAAACTTTCTGTCTTGCTGCCATTCTTTGCTCCAATAGCTCTGTAATTATGCCCATCTTTTCTGTTCTGATTTCGGTGTTCTTTCGACATCATGAAATCGCCAGCAAATACAGTCTTTACCACGTATTGATTTCTCTTCTCTGTTGTAGGTTGGTAATTAGTATTTAGTGGTGATCATAGTCAGTCTGTTTAATGAAATTGATAATGTACTCTTCACTATTATCTGGTGTGCTTAACGGGAGTATTTGCAGACGTGTTTGTACAAATCAGAAGGATTCAGTTGCAAAGTGAAAAGCTAAATGAAGTTAGGTTTGAAGGAATTAGGAAGTGTATATTTGCGTTTAAAAGAAACAAATCACTATAGAAAATATGTGCTGTGAGAAATCTTTATTGACGAACCTAATATTGCCAGTAACGACAAAATAAGAAGAAGGTCAACAGGACAAGCGACGAGTCACACGTAGAAACATTTTAATACTTTATTTCTACCTGAAATTTCTATTGTCGAAATTGTTCATGTAAACAATCAAAGCTCCATGACCAAGACATACAGCTCAGTGAACGAAACTACACCATAATCAAAACAGGTTTGGGTGTATGGAATAAAGCTTATGTTCGGAACCCTTCACGTAGTGTTATTTATTTGACACGACCTAGAGTTGATCTCAGGACAACAACCGTAAATAATGACACAGCACTCTATGTTGCTGAGCAATCAGGATGTCTGCGGGCTGCTGTATCTAGTTCTATGGAGCATCATGATATTGAAGCGGAAGATAATAGCAGCTTAGCGCGTCCTGTTGATGTTTGTTTACAGTCAACGGATGGACGGATGCTATGACTAGCAATGGAAATAGTAGTCATCAGAATCTTAGTAGTGACAGCGGTAGTAAAGAGACAGAAAGTGTGAGCAATCCATCTATAGTGACTAGTCGATCAACTTCATCGAATTGGCTTTCTAGTGTTTTGACATCATCGAACCCTGCCGCGAATTTTAAGTTGATTAAAGATGCACAAGGTTGTGTAACTGTAACTGTTCCTACTCCGGTCGACCGTCAGTCGAGTGACGATGAGAAGGAAGCGTCTGATGGTAACAGCCAGTCTACAGTGTTGCATGATAACGATGCTATTGATGTGCATATGTCTTGTGTCTCTGAAACGGAACATGAAGAACGACAAGTGAGTTCATCGGTTTCGAATTGTGATACTGTAGAATTCTTTTTGAATGTTTTGTGTTTTTGGAAAATCCCTCCATGTTTACATATTTTTGCTATGACATGATGGACTTTTTCTCTTGACATTTTTGGTATTTTATTTGATTCCAATTTGAGATTTTATCATTGTATATTGTTATTCTTTCTATATTTGTACTTATATTGAAGTTTTTGTGTTTGCTTCTGAACTGTACATATATTGTTTAAATTTGATATAATATGGCTACCGCCACATTTTTGGATGGACGCGGTGGCTGCTGGACTTAGTGTCACTTACTAGTTATTGTGTTGGATACTCTGCGGAGTAATTTAACCCTGGAAGGAACACAAATTCCGTAAGACTTTGTATTTCCATTTTATAATAATATAGAGACGTTTTCTCCTAGAATTTTGCCCCTTTTGATTTGGTCGGGACCCGGAACTAGGAGGAACGTACAGGAGTGTTTCTATAGGAAACAATTGGGACAGCCACTGTCGAAATAAATCTACAGATACTAATGCTGTTCTTTCATGTAGCGAGATGAGTTATACAACAAAGGGAGAGTTTCACTCTACGGATGCTAGTGTAACCATGAACAACGTGACTTGTCTGACGGAACGGAATCATGATGACGATGGTAATAACCCAGATGTCTCTGATGTGACGAATGAGTTGCCGACGATGACGAATGCTGATCAAACCTCCTCTGTATCAGGAGATGGAGAGTTAGATATTGTTCCTATGTTATGACACTTGGAGCCTTCAGGAGCCGAGGAGATGGCAAAATTGGAGATCCCACCCTTGCATATTATCTATGGGTCAAGAAATTCTGTTTATAAGTCAGCATCACGGACTTCATTGTATATGCCGTTCGGAGCAAGTAGTGGTGGATTGACGACTCATCCCCATGATGTGGGATGTAAATCCCGGATAGGATATGACCAGCTTTACGACGTGCTGTACATGT